ACACACACACACACACAATATTTACTATATAGTGCAGCCAGAGTGCTTCTTGGAGGAAAGGATGACAAAGTTTTGTCTGACTGACTTTGGATGTTCGTAGGAGAGGCTATTCCTTGGAAAGGGATATCATATTTGGAAATGTGGAGGGTCAGCAAAGGAGAGAAAGACCCTCAACCAGACAGATTGACACATTGACTGCAGGACTGGTCTCAAGAGTGTCCGAGATGATAAGAATGGAATAGGGTAGACAGAAAAGAGTTTAGATCTGTTGTTCATAGGGTTACTGTGAGTTGTACACGACTAGATGGTATCTGACAACAGGTAGGTTTTCTGAAAGCACTTTTATCTTATTTCCATATCTAAATATTTCTCAGACTTTTATGTATTTATCTATTTGTTGATGTTAATTGAGTCTTAGTATGTACCATGTAATTTTGTTATACAATAGAGATTCAAGACATAGTCTCTGCAGGAGAGAAATCACAGAAGTGGGTAACTATAATTCATTACAAAGGTACAAGGAGCCTTGTTGGTGTGGTGAATTACATGCTGATTGCTAACTAAGAGAGCAGTGATTCAGATTCACCCGTTTCTTTGTGGGGAAAAGGTGGGAAGTCTCCTACCATTAAGATTCTTGTCTTAGAAATCTGATGGAGGGTCACCATGAGTCAGAATGTACTCTATGACAGTGGGTTTGAGTATGAAGGGACAGTTATTAAGAGAGGAATATCCGAAGCAAATACATTCTAGTGAGTAATAATTGCTGTCGTGCTTTATATAATATTAGCAATCTGGTCCTTATTCTCTGTGGGCCCAGGGGAGGAATTCTTGGTCTGATGATATATAGGTTTTGCATTAAGAAGATTATGTTGTCAGCCTCAACAAAAGTAGACCTTACCTTAGATGGAGAAGAGTAATTTGAGTAGAGCATGGCAGCATAGAAAGTAGAATTGAAAAGGAATGGCAGATTTTATTTCAAGTGAAATTGTATTTCTCTGCTCCCCAACAGTTGTGGTCTATGTCCTAAGCTGGGAGAAATGGTTTCTTCTGCAAGATCACTGCAAGAGACTGACATAAAAACCAAGATGTATTTATTCATGCAAGACAACTTGTGTGTTCTCTGCCAGTTTTCAGGAAGCTAATCATGTCTTTTGAAACTCTGATCATCATTCTTTGCTTCTTCTTTCAGTGGCAATTTGCAAGTCGAGTTAAAATGTCCCCAGAAGTAGCCTTGAACCGCATTTCTCCAATGCTCTCCCCATTCATATCTAGTGTGGTCCGCAATGGAAAAGTGGGACTGGATGCTACCAACTGTTTGAGGATAACTGACTTAAAATCTGGGTATGTACCAAATCAAACTCAGCAGCTAACTCATAATAAACCTTTCTCAGCCGTCTCATTACAATTGAACACAGAAATCCATTAAGTCATGGTTTCATCTCTTGATTCAATTTATATTATCCAATTCTTGCCATTTTTATGTCTCAAGTTATTTTACTTGTGCTGTAGACTATTACTATAACCTGAATGTTGGTGTTTTTTCCCCCTAAAATTCTCTTTGTTAAAAGTGTCCTGTGTTTGTAGCACGTGGGTTGTTTTCATTTTATTGCTTTGTTTTCTTCTTATGGTTGCTAAGAGTTAGTTTTGAGATTCTGAATTACTGATAATCTCTCTTAGTATGAAGATGATAATGTTATTGTTGTCAGTTGCTGTCTTAATTGATTCTGACTCCATAGAATTTTTAAGTCTGTGACCTTTTGGAAGTTAACAGACCTCTCTCTGGCTAGTAGCCCAGTGCTAAACCTTTTTTGCCAACCAGAAACTCCTGAAAATATAATACTGGTAGTCATAATGAGTTGTTCCTGTTAAATATGGATTAAAACAGCAAGATTTCAAGCCTGTATATTTTAACAACCTTTTTATTTAGACAGTGTTTTTAGATTTACAGAAAAGTTCTAGAAACACTACAAGAAATTAACATTGTTACAAAACTACTAATTGAGCTATAGGCTTTATTTGCATTTTGCCAGTTTTCCACTAATCTTTTTCTAGTCTAGGATCCGGTTAGTTTTTTGCTGATAAGCTTTCTCTAGTGAAGAATCTAATTGTTGTTTCTGTCAAACTGATTTTGACTCACAGTGACCTAAGATGCCCCCTGTTATTTCCTTGGCTATAATCTGTATGGGAGCAGGTTGTTAGGTCTTCTCCTGGCTAGGTGGGCTCACACTGCCACCCTTTATTGAGCAGCTGAGTTCTGAACCACTGTATCATCAGGGCGTTTTTCCAAAGTAGAATACAGGCAGTTCCCAGATTATGAATATGACCCATTCCTGTGTCTTTAAGAATTTGTAGGTAAGTTGGAGCCGGTGTGTATATGGTCCTTATTTAGCCCTATTTAGTGCAAGGAAAGGCTCATAGGTTTATTTGGTTGGTGTTTTTTTTAAGGATTTAAAAGCTGACCTTACTGCAAATGAAGGTGATTGTGACAAAGAATTTACTCTAAGTAGGAGTTGGCTTATTAATTAAAAAAAAAAATGAAGACAAATTTATGTAATGTTAAAGGAACAGTTGGAGTTGTCCAAGAATCTAGGCTGATGTTGGAATCAGGGCACTGCCTGATCTATGTTACATTTAGTTATCTGTTTCCTTTGTTGCTTTTACATTCTTGTGCAGAGTAGAATTGCACCATAGGATTTTCACAGCTTGGAAAGCCTTTCGGAAGGAGATTTCCAGCCTTGTTTATTGAGGTGTTGCTGGGAAGGTTTGACCCCTTGCTTCATCATTTGTGCCATTTAATAACTCTGTTCTCTTTTTCTCAGTCCTCCCAGTCTGTGATATTTCTTCAGTCTTGCTTTGTCTTTGACACTTCTAAAAGTATATGACACTTGCAAAGGCCAGTTATTTAATATGACTTTGTCTAATGATTTACACCGATGAGAGGGAGACCAAGCACTGCTCCTGCAGCCCCCCAAAATGCTGCAGAATTGATGTGTCATTTTATAGGCAGCATGGTGATAGATGGAGAAAAGATTGGCTTGTTAATGATTTCATCTTGCTAGAGTCCACAGTCAACATCTTTGGCACCAACAGTCAGAAAATCAAAAGATGAATTGTGTTGGGAAAATCTGCTGTCAGTGACCTCTCCAGAGTGCTGAAGAGCAATGATTTCAGTCTAGAGACTAAGGTGTGCCTGATCCAGGCCATAGTCTTTTCAATTGCCTGTTATACATTTGAGAGCTCAACAGTGAATAAGGATGACTGAAAAATCAATGACTTTGGTTTTGTTCCTGGAGAAGAGAATTGAACATACACATGGTGGACTACCTGTCCAAACAGGTCTGTCCTGGAGAGGGTCAAACCAGTTTACTCCATGGAGGCAAGAATTTTGAAACTCAGTCTCACGTACTTTGGGCATAGTATCAGGAGGATACCATGAACTGACACATTAACTGTGGCAATGTAACACAGTAAATGTGTCAGAGATAGTGAGGTTGACTTAGGATAGGGAAAGGTTCAGAGACATTGTTCATGGGGTTGCTATGAGTTGTAGTTGACTTGACGGCACCTAACTTAGTTTTATGGGTTGTAAACTTTGCTCATGTGAGTAAGGTTGAGTCCACCAGGTTTTTTCAACGGAGACTTAACTGATAGGTTTAATCCAAGATGAATGAATCCTATGCATGATCTCTTATCACACAATTCTCACTTCCTTTTACTCTTGAGAAACCTGCCTGAGCACCTGACATACTGCTTGGTTAACTAGGGTAGAAATTCCATGCTAGTAAAAGAAATTAAAAAGTCAATTTTCAATCTCTGACTATTGTAAAGATAAAAAAGATTGTTGTTGTTGTTATGTGCCGTCGAGTCGTTTCTGACTCATAGCGACCCTATGCACAACAGCCCCAAACCCTGCTCTATCCTGCGCCAACCGCACCGCCTCTGACACACCCATCCCGATTACCCCAGTCACCGAATCAATCCATCTCATAGAGGGTCTTCCC